GTTTGTGTGTGTATCTCGTACGACGTAGTGGTTGGGACGAGAAGGGTCTGACAGCGTCGAGGACCGCTGCCGCCGAACATCCGGGCCTCCCTCGCGCGCGACTCCGGTTACAATCGATGATAGCGCGCACGCATTCGCTGCCCGGGCCGTGAGGAAGAAGACCGCACCAGAAAGCGATGGCGCCGCTTCGCCCCTTGGTAGCTATAGACGCGTCTAGGTGCCGTTCAATTCAGGTACCACGACTCGAAAGCACGGAAATAATATTTCAGTTTGTTTCTTTCTTTTTATGGTGAAAAAGCCGCTGATTCTATGTTGTGCAAGGCTCAAAGAGTCACGTAATGAGCCAAAAAGTTCCCTCCATCGGAAAAAACGTAAAATATGATAACCTTCTAGCAGTGCAGTAGGGTGGCAAGGATTGCGCTTTTGTACAGCTCGCAGAGATATTTTCACCTCTGCGCGGCGCTATGAGGCCATGTGATTGGGATACGCTCATAATAGCTAGTTTGAACCGTGAAAATAGTAACGTCCGACGCTCAGTTTAGCACTGACCAATCGAAGTTTCTTCCTGAATGTGGTAATAAGGAACAAGTTTTAAACGACGTTTAAATTAGCTGCCCCACGCACTAAGGTGCCGACTACTTGAGTATGGTGTCAGGGATTATTTGTCTCCGTATTGGCGTTTGTAGGCTATATTTTACGGCAAAGCTGTTATGGCCACCGTTTGTGCGGTTCGCGATGCAGACATGAAACCTTGCCGGTGGGCACTCTCTCCGTCCTCCTCTCACTCGTCGAACAGGTGCTCCCAGCGCACGCTCTCCCGCTGCACCGACTTGGGATGCAACATATCTAGGATTGGCGAGAGCACGAGATAAAAACGAAGAAGTTAGTACAGCTTCGATCTAGTGGTGCCAAGCCACTCAGGGACAAGCTGTTTTTCGTCGGTGCTAAGAAGTAAGCGGCGGATCGACACCGTTGGTGAAAGCGGAAGCTGCGCTACGCTGGCGAGTTGTCACCAAATAACTACTGTATACCGTAGCTTTCTTATTTTGGAAAATCCTGCTACCATGTTGTCAAGTTCATTCAATGAATATTACCACATGTTACAATGTCACACTTCAATGACATTTAGCTGCAGCAGACACTTGCAATATTCGTGGGATAAACAAGTGAAGTTGTTCGCAGATTTTGTCATTACCTGATCGACTCATTAATTAATTAATTAATTCACTGACTCCTAACGGACACCAGGCACTCAGAGAAGTCGCAGCGGAGACACGATATTAACGTGCGCCGAACCATTGCAGCAGTTTTTTTTTTCCGCTCTCGACGAAATACAGCCTAAATGGTCAGGACTCGAACCCGATACCTTGTGATCACTTTTTAGGGTATTCAAACTTTAGCTTCACTTTGAAATGCATTCGTAAGCCAGGCGCTAAGCCAGAAATTTCGGGGAGGAGGACATTCACTGAAGACCTTGAGTATTTGAGAAAGACACTTCTTTTCATTAGTTTCTGTAAAAAAAAAAGCCTCCACAAAAATTTTTAGGAAGAGGGGGGGGGACGCGGCTAAGCCCGCTACTTTCCTGGCTGCGGGCCCTGCCGCAAGCCTGTACAAAGCTGTAAGGCACGCAGAAAAATTGACTTGGGCGTTGTGCGTTGCAGTCATGGCAACTGCGCGCGCAAGGTTACACGAACGCGAAAAAAAAACGAAGACACGTGCAAGACAAAGAACGGAAGAGAACGCGGAGAATACGCTCGCTCATATAGACAGGAAATGACGACAACGCTCCTTTGTCGGGCACACGTCGAACAATCGCGATTGTCTCTGCGATCTCTGCTCATCTTTCGTCGGATCCACGACGTCGGCGAAACTTCCTCTGCGACGGGTGGATTCAGATTGCTGTCGCCTGCTGACTACTATGAGCTGAATCTTTCCTTAGACTTTACCCAAGCAGCATCACTTACCGGAAAGAAGGTGGTCGAAGCTTGCGGTAAGCCGTACAAGGCTTAGAACATCAAAGCTGGACGATTCTGCAGACCAATCTGGTTGCTGTTTCCTAGGCCTTAGCTAGGTGATGCAGGTTGTTTCTAGGTTGCTTTCAGGTCGTTGCTAGGCTTTAGCTGGGTGGTGATAGATTCGTTTAGATGTGGAGCATTTTTTGCTCGCGTCTATGTCCAGCGGCGTCGGCGTCTGCACTCGCACTAGGCATGCGCAACTCTCCTCCTTCCCTCTTTCCTGCAGCTGTGCGCTACTCTTCTACTTCCCCTTCCACTTGCTTGCGCTTCTTCTGCGTTCAACCTTCTGCTATTGCAGCGTACGCCTCACTCTCCTCCTCTAGTCTCATCTTCTTCAAGTATCAATATAAGGTGGGTACGCATGCGTGCCTCCTCCCCCTCCTACGCTCCGGCAAGTCTCGTTGCTGGCGTGATTTCGCGCAAAAGGTCACGTGTTGGACCGACAATGCTGGCTTCAAAACGGCACGGATTGCCAATGCTGCCCGCGTGATGTCGCGCTCCCTCCTTTCTTTCTTTTTTTTCCCTCCATGCCTCTAGGCAGTGTCTTTTCTATTTTTTAAAGGGGCCCCCCGAAACACTTTTTTCAAGTAACCATGAAATTAATTCACTGGAAGAGCTTATTGCCTTACGAATTCCACGCCGCAAAAATTTTAAGAATCCATCTAGTGCGAGTGAAGTTACAAAGATTGGTCGCATGCTGCAATTGCATTCTCTCTTCTCTCGCCCTGACGAAAGCACTGGAAACTAAGCAGAGAGGGATGGCAGGAGCAAAGAAACTATGTTACCCGCGCCTCGTGAGCCTGAGCACATTTTTTTTTCTTCGAATGTGTGATCGCGCGCGCACACGTGGACAAGTCACGGCCTCCCACGGCGATCTCTGTAGCGACCGAGCACGCCATGTTCAAATGGCCCATGGCCTTGTAGAAAGCCATCTTAGCTGACTTTGATAATTTATTGTGAATTCCAGGCCACGTGCTGCGCTATATTATTTGGCTCACGTGTTGTCGGGAGCCTCTACTACCGATCGGCAGCGTTTTCTAACCACCGTTGCTCAATAAGTGTTGCAGGACCCCTTTAAAATAAAGGAAGCGCTGCTCTAGGCATTTCTCCCCGCAGCGTTCATTGCGCATGCGTAACCCTCCTCTCCGACGCTTCCCATCACTCTCACCTCACAATGCCGTCATCATCTGCTAGTGAGTTTCTTGATTAAAAACACCGACAGCTTGTGCTGCGCAACCATTCACTGGTCACCCTGTATATATAGGTACTGCATGGTAATGCCGGTGGGGAATTTTTTCTGTGTTGTTGAACAATAAAAATTTGCAGCGTGCGCGTTAACTAAAAGCGGACTGCGGATCTCTGAGTCCTATTGGGACCTTCTGTGTCTCATTGCCCATCAACAGCGGTTGGCATGTTCCAGTAGGAAACACCGGTCCATCAATGCGTGCTTTGGGCTTCTCCGGGTTTCTCCTGTGGAACACCGTTGTGCGCGCCAGCGTCAACGCCGCCGCCAGTGTAAGCGTTAGCGGCCGCAGCTTCGCATCTACACGTGGTTCCCTTTAGCGGGAGATAGTATAATATTTTTATGTTGTTTGCCAGTACAGATAGGTTCGACTTAAACCAAAAACAATAACTGACACGACACGGATGTCTCAACTCCAGAGACGGAAACTCGCGCCGAAGGCAAGCGTTCACACCTCTCATACGGGCAAGTCTTCGTACACGCCTTCAATCGCTTTGTTGCCTTCTCGCAGCCGGCGTTGCCGTTCCCGAGTGTTATCTCGTGGTGTGCACTCGGTGTCTTCGGCCCAGCACTGTCGCTTGGCACCCGTTTGTTGCGCAAGCTGTTTGGACAAGTGCTGAGTAGTGGGATTAACCCAATTTCTGTCGCACACACCAGTTTATGATTATAATTTTTTTATAGAGCGTGGCACATAACCATTTTATTATCAGCCACACAAATTGCAGCTAGCCAAAAATTATTCCCTCTTAAAAGCAAGGTATTCAAAAATTTTGCGTTTATCATATTCTTGTGAAATGCCGGTCCTCTGCTGAAGCTAACTAGTCCAATGAAGCAAAAAGCAAGCGATAGAATTGTTCACCTAACACTAATTAGATAACTATCTTTGTTTTACCTGTTTGAGAAAGGCTACAATATTATCCTTTGCGCACTGCGAAAATTCTAAAGGCAGTTTCATGTACTACCAGATGGAAAAGTTTGCTTCGACTGTAGCAAAGAAGTCTTACAAACAAATCAAGGTTCGGACAGTGAACAATGGTAACATGAAGTTTATGGGATGGAAAATTGTATTATTTGTAATCACCTCGTCACCTGTGAAATTATATATGTTTAAAGACAAACGAAGTGCGATTCCATTGATTATTGATGTGCCGGCCTTTAGCGTCCCAAAACCACCATAATATTATGAGAGACGCCGTAGTGGAAGGGCGACATACACTACGCGCGCTCGTGTCTTCTCTCCTCTTCGGTCCTTCTTTTTTGCGTTTCAAGTTTGTTTCTTAATGTCTTACAAACTGACCCAAGCTTACGTGCTTCTAAACACCAGCACTGCCCATTCCCTCAACGCGATGCAACTCATGTTTACACACCCTCAACACAAAATCCTTCCCACACTTATGCTCCGATGGTGTAGACAAAGCTGTATTTTTCGCACAACGGACGTGATTCGAATCTCTTCGCAGCCGGCATTCACGCCACAGCAGACATTTCACTCTACGTGCGAGGATCTCAATTGTGACTTAGCCCTCAATCGTTTAACGAATCGCTGCACGCGGACAGAAGCGAGACCGCGGACGGAAACAGGGTAACGTAAGGTGACGTAAAATGTAAACCACGAGCCCGAATTGCGAATTCGTACATCATCTGAATACAGCTTAAAGAAGCTGCAGTGGAGAACATGTTCGAGGATAGAGGGACGCCATCCCTTGCATACAGCATAAACGTGCAGCTGTTCGCACATATACCTTTCCGTATCGTCCGGCGTAGGTACCCGTGAGTAGGGAGTGGAAGATGATGATTGTCTCATCCAGGTCCCAGATGAAGACCCGCTCCAGGCTGTTCTCGGGGTCCGGAGATGGATTCGCCTGCCGCCGACCCCGGCCCCGGCCGCTGCGACCTGCGCAGTGAGCGAAAAAACTTTGTCGTATAAACGCTGCCCTTTGTATAGCCAGTAGGTTCAATGCTGAATGCGTTTAGTGAGAATTTGATTCCGCGATTGTCCAGTCAATCAACTTAAAAGGCTAACAATATCGGTATGGATGGCAGCGAGTTTAAGATCACATTCCTTCTTCATGACAGCGAACGGAAGCAATACGCACTCGGTGTGCACTGTCAAGCTACATTCACAGAGATACCGAGGCCCGGCAGAGCCAAATAGCTTCGAAAGACAGCGGCTATGCTGGGCCACGAACGCTGTTCCACTAACAGGCATTTGATTTCGTCGCGTGACCAAGCGCGCAACGTCTTGCCTTACCCGTTCCTAATATGTCTCCTGAAGATAGTGAGGACTGCGAGTACACCGTAATCAGCACCAACAGACAGAGACGCAGGCAGAAATATTTTCCGAGCGGGAAAGGGGGACACCACCTTGATTTGAAGTGGGGTCCACGCAGACAGATTGATGTGCACGAGTGTCAATTAGTGCTCTACATGCCATGGCAGACAAAAAAAATGTTATGCGAGACGCCGTAGTAGAGGGCTCCGGAAATTTCGATCACCTGGGGCTCTTTGGCGTGAACGCAAAATCTAAGCACACGTGTTCCTACAGCATTTTTGCCTCCATCGAAAATGCAGCCACCGCAGCCGGGATTCGATCCCGCGACCTGCGCGTTAGCAGCCGAGTACCTTAGCCACTAGACCACCGCGGTATGGCGGCTACACCACTTCGAACAGGGGTGCCTTCCTTCCTTCTTTAATCTTCAGTGAAACGAATCCGGACTTAGAGTATAACCTTGGTGAGGTCAACGGTTAATTTCGCGACGAGCTTTCGAACTTTTCGTGTATGGTGAGGCCGCAGCAAGCCAAGGACCGGGTTAGTTTAAAAACATACCTTTTTTTCCTCCCGTGGACGTATATCCAGGCTAATGACGAGGTGTTCGAAACTTCAGCAGTTTCAAGGTAAGCGCTTTCAATTACTTTCTCTCCTCTAAGTGAACGCCATGCCTCACTAAATCTGAGTGAGTCAGTCACAAATGTAGCAGTCACGTGCAATTACGACCTTTTACTCGCTCAACAATGAGTGCTCACTATTTTCTATAGTTGCTATTCCCAAGTGAAACCTTACGTTTCACGGTTAACACGACAGCGGATTCGAGACGGGCACTCGCCTTTCTTGGCTCCACCAGTGACGGGGTCGCACTTGGCGGGCGGGGAGGGGCTGCCGTCGGCGCCGTACGAGCCGTCCACTGCGCAAAAAAAGAATGTATTCCACGCTGGCACCTACACTGTGTCTTTATAGGAAAAAAAATGAGCATAACTTGGCTACATTTTTTCATTTTTTGTAATTTCGTGTTTGCGCAAAAACTTCAGAAAAAACGTAACTGTTGCAGTTATAGCGCAGCACTTGTGGCAATTTACACGTACCTTATGTTCAGCTAGGACAACGTGTTGGCGAAGTTTTGTGTTACTGTGTGCACGGACATAACATTTATGTAAATGTTGCAGTTTAGTGAACTTTTGTGGTGAGTGGACGCTTTTGTTATAATAAATAATATTATAAATATTATTACTATTCTTATTTGTTTCTATTCGTATTTATATTACGCAAGAGGAGCAGCACGTTTTAAGCTATGGCAAAAACCTCTCGTTATAAACATTTAATTATAATAATAAGCACGAAGACGACAACAGAAGAACATGTGAGAACATTGGGTTTCCATTAAAGAGTTCTCTGTGCAAGCACCCACTTCTTATAAGATTAAACACAGACAAAAGGGCATCGTCACACTCGGCTCGACTACTAATTTCGACTGCACCAGCTAAATATGTGCACATAGGTCAGCAATAATTGTGCAGCTCACTCAGACACAACCGGGCTCAAGCTCACCAAAATATTACTCACCTGGACCCAATGAGACACGGCTCGATCCGAGTGAGCCCGAGTGAGTCAACTCATGAGTTCGTTGCATAGAATTAGATTGTTCGACCAAGGTGCCAATGCTATATTTACCACCATGTAATCGGCACTCTCCGCAACGTCTTTGAATATAGTACCTTAGTACCTTGAAATACGTGTTGTGATGGTTGCGAACGAGTAAGAACATTTTTGTTGAAAGAGATAACAACATAAGATATATGTATCAAGAACTTTCTTGACAGAGTTGGCGGCGGGCAGGTCAAGGCTACCCTCTTCGCCATTCACGCCTCTGATCAATTAATATTGAAACGGTGTATGAATGGTACTGCTTTGGAATACGTATGAGTAGACGTAATTATAAACGTGAATCCAGGTACAACTGATAGTTAGGCCGAAGATGAGTAAGTAGATAGGGGCGTTCTTCAACTTCTCAAACCATCGTACGCGGCAGAACATTGCCTGGAATCGAACCCTCGAAACAACCGCAGTGTCAAAAAGGCCAACACGACGGGCTTGAAGTTCAATACGTTAAAGTTACTACTGCTAAATACGGGGCTAATTCATTCACTTCGACGATTCTTATTTCATGGTTCGCAACACAGCCAGTCTTGATCGCGCAACACCCGCATTTTAAGTGATGTCTCGAAATCGGAAGGTTAGACAGTTCACTCTTCGAATCACCCGCAAAGTTAAAGCGCAGCTGCATGGTATGTCCGACAATAAACGTTTTTTTTTTAATTTCGGGGAAGAAAACTGTGTTGCCTTCCTTAAAATTTTGTGGTAATGAAAGAACTAGTCACTATACTCCTAATCTATTCTTCACAAGAACAGGACATCAATTTATTATTAGCAGCGAAGCTGTATAACTTATCGGTAGCTTATGCTCTGTCGTGCTAAACTCCGCAAGTGGGTGTGTGCCACAGGAATCAGGCTGTTGGCACCACTAGTGCGAAATTGGCATAATATACTGTCATTGATATTTTTGCAGACTACAAAGTCTTCATGATTCTTACTTTCTTGATCTCGATATTTTTCACAGCTCATGTGGAGTCACTGATTTTCCACCGAGCTTTGCACCGTTTTGCCATATAGTGTGGCACTACAATTGAAAATACCGTTTCCTTTTTTTTTTGTTTTTCTGCCTGCATAACGCTATATAGTAAGCGATTTTAGTCACCATTGCATTACATGCACCTCTTTTAATGTTATTATATTTCCCCTAATGTCTAGATGTTTTTTATACATTTTCTTGTTTTTGTTCGTATTGTCTCCGAGAAACAGTCGTTGTACAGTTTATTATCACTTTTTTTTCGTAAGGCACAACAATAACCGTACGTTAAATAGGCACGTTAAATAAATAACTGCCTGAATGATTATTGCTACTATTAAATTAATTGATACTACACACACACGCGCGCGCAAAGGATCAGGTTCATCACTGTCACCGAAACGAGTACAACTACGTATACTTTGTGCTTTTGACGGAGGAGGTAATGGAAAGTGATGTTTTAAAGTAAAAAGAAGGAGAGTACCGAGGAGTCACTGCTATGACAGAACTGAAAGACAAGAGTAAAACAACGGAATGAATAATTGAGAACCTCGAAAAACTAGCTTGGTCTCCTGCTTGTCCATTATTATTTTTTTGCAGGCACAACGTATTTAGTTATCTTTTACATGGTACATTATCTTGTTAATGGTGAACATGAATGAGTTCACTGAAGCTGACACGCTGTTAACACACGGCAATATCGTTAAAGAGGCCGTGAACTACTTTGTACGAACAGTCTTCGTAATCGAACAAGCATACAGGAAAAGAAGCCCGAACTTATCTGTCGCGAGAGCTGTTTAGTCGGCGCTCAATACCACTGTGTTTTTTGCTTCCACAGAACGTCAGCGTTATCACAGACACGATCAAAGCGACAACGACGAAGTTGTGGAGATGAGCATTCAAGAGGTCGCAACGTCACGAACACTCTGGTAGAAACATAACAGCTCCGCAGGCGAGAAAAAAAAAGAGAGAGAGGGAAGGCTGTCAAGCAAAAAAAGATGTGGCAGCGGTGGGATTCGAACCCACGCCCCCTAAGAGACTGGTGCCTTAAACCAGCGCCTTAGACCGCTCGGCCACGCTACCGACAGGTCGATTACGCTACCGCAATCAAACACGTTCTCGTACGGTAAGCTAGGTGAGCGAGTTGCTTGACCTTCGGAAGAGCGCTGTGATAGGGTATCGGCCAACGCCACGGTTTTTGCGAACCGGCGGTACTGCTTACGTTTTTCAATGATTTTTTTTTTTACCAGTTTGCTGTTTTTTTTTTTTTTTGCACACTATATCATTTCGCTGCAGTATTCGCTCAGAACAACAAGTACACAGTGCTGATAACACAACCAGCTGTCGAACAGAGGGCCTGGGAACGTGAACGGACGGACGGACGGACGGACGGACGGACGGACGGACGGACGGACGGACGGACGGACACACACACACACACACACACACACACACACACACACACACACACACACACACACACACACACACACACACACACACACACACACACACACACACACACACACACACACACACACACACACACACACACACACACACACACACACACACACACACACACACACACACACGCTTTTTTAGACAATTAAGCGTCTTTTACGTCACTCAAGAAAATTTTCCTGAGCCAGACTCAGTCGGACTTATACTCCCGAAAATTTTCTTCACCGGGACTCACTCGGACTCAGACAAATGGTTCGATCTGAGTCAGTGTGAGTCCGAGTGTGTGGATACACGAATCCGGCGGCAGCTTAGAATGAGTTTCTTCGACCGTGGTGTCAATGCTATTTAACACCAACATCTCGCGTAATCGGTGCTCTTGTTGCCGTTGGAAATCTTATCTTTGAAAACGAGTTCTGACTGCTTCCGAACCAGTAACATTTTTTTCACTGTAAGAGATGACAGCATAAGATATAATCAAGAAATTCTCTGGGAGAGTTGGTGGGGTGAGGTCAAAGCACCCTAATAGGTTATTCACGCCTCTAAATAATAAATATTGAAACGGTATATTAAACACACTGCTTTGGAATGCCTGATGTAGGCGTGAATATAAACGTCAATTCATGTAAGGCTGATAGTAATGCTGAAGAGTACTAGATAGGACCTTAGGTCGGCAAAAGTAAGTGAAACTCACTCAGGCTCACGCAAGAAATATCTTCTGCGCTTTGGACTCACTCGGACTCATACTCATCAAATTATTTTTTTTCCTCCGCCTAACTCACTCGAACTCATATTCACGAAAGTTCTCTTCAACCGAACTCATTCGGACTCAGACTCACAAAAATATTACTCCCACGGACTCGCCGCCGTATTCTAGAACGTCCCTTCACTCGACGCTTCCCCTTGACTTGAAAAAGTCGACGCGAGTGTCGTCTCTTGGCAGACTAAGTCACTGCATATCGGCAATAATCTGCAGCGATTCTTGAGAAGCGCAGTGTCAGTTTAAGCCGAGCAGTGGCGCAGTGCTCAACTCAGTCAAGTGAAGGACGAAATTCGAGTCGAGGAACATATGTGAATACGGGGGTTAGACTCGCGGCTCAATCTGTGGGAGTCCGAGTAAGTCGACTCATGAGTGGGTTCGCCGACCTATGCCCATCATACACGTGGTAACAACAATAATCGCATTGTAACCTGCAGAAAGTGGCAACGATTATCGTTTCTACCACGTCATGATGGGCGTACGTATCCACTACGACAAAAAATAAAGTTAGTTGAAAGTTGGCGCCCATCCGTGTCCCCTGCGCGCATGTTTCGTTAGTGCGCAACGATTTTCGGCTGCCAAATGTTTAGGAGTAACCGTGACGGGAGAAGTAACAGTTCGGCAGTTACCCCCAGAGGGGAGGAATAACTGCGGCAGGTTAATTACACCCCTAAAGGAGCAAAATCAATACCGCTCCTTTACTCCTTGTCATGAACATTTTGCATGTGCATGCACAAAGTGCCAACACACTATAAACGACGCGACCATAGAGCATTCGACCCAGCGTGCTGCCTCGACAGAGCAGCGACGATGATAGCGGCTGAGACAGGCCCCGGTTTCGCTAGCGGCATCACAAGCGATAATTTCCCGCCGCGGTGGTCCATGGTGTCGACCCGCAGGTCGCAGGATCGAATCCCGGCTGTGGCGGCCGGATTCTCGTAGGAGGCGAAAATGTTGTAGGCCCCTGTGCTCAGATTTGGGTGCACGTTAAAGAACCCCAGGTGATCGAAATTTCCGAAGCCCTCCACTTCGGCGTCTCTCATAATCATATGGTGGTTTCGGGAAGTTAAACCCAGCATATCAATGAATCGTCAACACAAGCGATTATCGCTGCGTCTGCTTATCGTTCATTTATAAACCGTCGATATTGTTTGTACGTGGAACGTTACGGAACGCTGCAATCGCGGCACGCCCACACGCGCACGTCACGTGGGATTTTTATTTCGCCGGCGTTGGTAGTGAGCAAAGAAAAAAAAAAACACTAATAATTAATTCACAAAAATCTGAAACTGTCTAATTAGGCTTTTCCCGAAATTACAACTTTTATATCGGAATTCATTTGCCCAGTTTAGTCTTTCCAAGATTTAGTTAATTAAACGTGCATAAGTAGGAAATTCGAAGAAGACGAAAAACAGCGCGACGTACTCCAGGCAATGGTCGGAAACGGGCATTTGGACGCACCGTCATAGTGCATCGGCTTATCTTTAAATACTGAACAGAGATACCTCGGGCACCCTGATAACCAAGCACATACGAACACACCCATCTATACACGTGGAGGCGGGGCGAGGGCGGGATGACGCACCGTTATTACGACGTTTTGCCATTGGCCAGGCCAACCTGGTGCCTCTGTGCGTCATCAGATCGCTGTCACGACCTTTTCTCCGTTACGTCACATAAGCCTACAGTGCAGGACGTCAGAATTCTCGGTACTTGAAATTGCGGTCAAGTCGCCAACGTCGACGATCGAAAATCGCGCACTGCGTGCTTACACAACGCCCTCGTTATAGTGCAAATCGGCCACGGCAAACTGTCATTACTTGGACCTTTTACGTAACAGCTGCACGTCATGTTGAAGCATTCAGACTTCGAAGACTTTCTGGCGTTACGTGTAGGCTCACATGTTGCGACAGCCCGCTAGGAGTGGCAGATCGGATGCGGTTGTGTCCGTGTTCGTCGCATCGCCCTCAGGTTTCCACCTTGATCGAAATGGCGAAGGGGGCAACGAATCTCTGAGGCAATGTTTTATTTGGAGCAAACTATACTAATGTACCGGGCTATCGCGAAAAACTTGCTCACGTAATTACACGCACATTCATTTGTTCGCTTACGGCACGCTTGAGGCATGCAGCAATGCGATCCACACGAGACCCAATCACGCTCTTGAAGGCAAAAGTTAAGCGCCCTTCAAGTTCTTTGATTTTATATTTTGGGCCAGCCACGCAGTCTCTTGTTCCTAATACTTCGTCTGCGTTTCATTCTCTCTCTTTGTGGGTGTGGGAATAAAAGCGATTTCGAGCTCTTGCCGACGTCGGAAAGGAAGCGTGCCACGCACCGTGCTGCTGCGACGGTGGCAGCTGTGCCAGCTGGTAGGTAGAGGGCGCCAGCGGAGAGGCGCACGCTGCCGCCGCCGCCGCGGCTGCCTGGACGTAGCCGTAGCCCTGGGCGTAGTACGGGTAGCCCTGCGCTGCCCCGTAGCCGCCGTAGCCTGCAGAGTAGTCGAGCGCCGTCTGCGCCGCACTGGCGCCGCCGCCGGCCGCCTGGGCGGAGCCGCCGAACCCACCGCCCGCGTAGCTGGAACCTGTCATACGAAACGAAGGGGGGGGGGGGGGGGATACGATTAATTGTGGCTGCACCTTCTTTACTCGATAGTTGTATTCAACATGTGAACAATAATAAATAAAAAACTTATCAGCACAACTACGCATACCTGTAACTTGCCCTTTGTGATGCTTCATAAGTGAATTATACCTAGGGTGCAACCCACCGAATTAAAACAAAAAGAGCCATTTTACAAATCAGATTTGTCAATACAATCTCGGAACAGAGGCATCGTGTTTACAAAAAAAATACACGGTAAAAAATATACAGGCGCTCTGCGGTGACGACCATACCTTACATAACCTGCTCGATCTTCACCTTTTCTCTAAAGTCACAAACACCGGGAACATCTTTTCTAGACTGTACTCGCTCGTCAAATAACAAAAGCTGCGCATCCATCCAGAGTAATCATCCGCGCAGCTTCTTGCCTGCAGCAGTAGAAGAACTCAGTGAGTGGTGTATTGTCGCGAGGCTGATAACGACGCTGAAAAGGCCACATTTCGACGGAGGCGAAGTGCTAGAGCCTCGTGTACTTGGGTTTAGCTGCACAGTTAAAGAGACACCAAGTAAAAGAGCGCTTTGTCTCGTATTCGCGAGTCGCTCGTTAACAACATCGAAATCGCCACACGAACTCTTGTGGTGAGAGAGAAAACGCGCACTATGAAAATGCGGGTGGCGACGCCACATTGACATTGTCGAAACGTGACGTCAAATATATCGACGGTGTCTGCTAGGGCCTATAGAGTTCCTAATCAGCAAAAACGAAGCACATTGTCCTCGGAGGAGGTTTACAACCGAGTGTCAGCAAATTTTATTGCGCCAACGTAGCCATCAAAATATTTTAAGGGTCCGTTTTTTTTTTTTTTGTTAGAAGAGACATTGAGGACAACTGACAGACAATCATGCAAAGGAAATTACAGGGGACGTTATCTGTAATAATTTCGATATAACTGCAGAAAAATTAATGAGGATCAAAACATAGCTCGCCGTAGGCAGCGAACGAACCTACGACCTTCGGATATCGCGTCAATGATAGAGCATTGGACGCGTTATACGAAGGGCGCGGAATCGGACCCTGAAAGCGGCAAGTCACCTTTCCGTCCACTCTTCTTTCATTCCCTGTTTATATTACAGTTACTATACTGACAACGTGCCCTGTACTTTTCTTGGCGTCACTGTCTGTTAATTCTCAGTTATGCAGCCGAAGTACGGTAAGTATACTTTGAAATCTATGACGGGGAACGATTCATCGATCTAAATCGATTCACAGTTTCCCTTTAGTGTGCCTTTAAGCACCCCAGGCGGTCCGAATTTCCGGAGCCCTCCACTCGGTGTCCTTAATGGCTTTATCGCGGCTATGGAACGTAAAACACCAACAATTTTTATTAGGTTTCGCTACACAATTTCAGCAAAGCACGAATTGGGATGCGCAATCCCACATGATAGATTTTTGTATTTTTGTTTCCGACCTTACTACAGCTTTGCAGCGAAATCCGGCATCCGGAAAAAAATCACAGCATATCCACGGAGTGAATGATGATGAGTGGGGCGAAGCGTCCCTTCGTTCGTTCTTGCTTTCGTCCATCCATCCGTCAGCGCACGCGTCCGTCCATCCTTGCATCCGTGCGACAGACCGACAGAGAGACGACGGACAGACGTGGCCAGCGGATGATTCACGGTTTGCCCATAAAACCCTCCGAAGCTTCGCCCCATTCATCACATTCACTCCGTGTATATGCTGTGAGGTGGTTAGTGCACACATGCATACATACACGTGACGACCGACTCGCGCCGTAAGGAGCTTTGCCCCTAATAATAATGATTGTTAAGGTTTCACGTGTTCAGACGACAAGATTGTGCGGGACGCCATAGTGGTCTACAGTGCTAAATAACTTCAACCACTTGTGGTTCTTTAATGCGCACCTGAATATATAAGTACACGGGCCTGTACCATATCGCATCGATCGAAAAGTGACCACCACGACCGGCATCGAACCTGCACAGGTCCGTGGTCCAGCACTATAATTACACCGAGAACTCATTATAACAAAGTTGCACCTTAAAAAGAAATATAGGCCTCTTATATCTGAACATTTGTTACAGAGGTATATACTCCTAGTACTGCATCCAATGGAAGGCTATTCTTCATTTACTTCGTTATAACCGATATTTCGTTATATCAGGGTTCGACTAAGTGAAGAAAAAAGTGGATATTAAGGGATTGTTTTTCTTTGTTCGACACCATAGCGATTAAAATATCATAATTTCGACAAACAACATCCGCCATACTTTCCTAGGCATCACTGTCATTCGTCATGAATACTGTAACTACTGTTACGGCGGCACAAGTTGTAAAAGGCATTTAAGTAGGAAAAGGGACGCAGCAGGTGTCGCCGTACCATAGGCGTAGTGTCCCTGTGCCGCCTGGGCCGCGGGACTCTGGGTTCCGTTGGAGGTGGCGAATCCACCGGAGCCGTACAGGTAAGACTGGGCCAGGTTAGACTTGCCCTGGCCAGTCGTTGAGTTTGCTGAAGAGCCCTGTCGGGAACCTGCGGTACAAGACAAGTCACCCCGTGCATCGTCCCACAGCTATTGCACACGGAATCGAATCTCGGCTGCGGTGGCAGCGTTTTCGATATAGGCGACAAGGCTGTAGGCCCATGTGCTCAGATTTGGGTGAACGTTAAAGAAACCCAGGTGGTGGAAATTTCCTGAGCCCTCCAATACGGCGTCTTTCATAAACATATCTGGTCGTTATGAGACGTTAAACTCCACATGTCAATCAATCAACAACTATTGCACGCGTGCTCTCCTCAAGGCGAACTTTTGAAATTACGCAATACGAATATATTGCAGTGCACTAGGGAGAAGGGATGACAGGCCGGAAGTACCGAGAAAGGTAATGATGAGTGACCCACCGTACGAGGAGAGGACGTCCGAGCCGTACGCCTGGCCGGATTGGGTGCCGTATAGACTCGACGCCGGCATCGAGTAGGAACCACTGTTCAGCTGGCTGTACGCCTGCATGCTGTGGGTAAGAGAGGGGAGCATACGGGAGTCCATGGCAGCGCGTGGATTATTCACATGGTGCGCCATCACAGCATCTTGAACGTGATCAAGATTTGGGGACATTGGCTTCGGCAGACATGCGCGCGTAGCGCCATCTTTCGCCGGCGACCATCGTGGCCTGTCGTAACTGAATATGAAGTAGGCGAAAAAAAAATCGTATATGACGAAAAAAAAGCTATCAAAAACAACTCCCTGTTATATACAGCAGAGACTCAGCTGACAATTATGATAAAGTTACAGTCTCGCATTACAGACCACGTGGCTTCCCAGAGTGTAAAATGTTATACAATGAGGCCCCATGAGCTTCTAATGTTATATGTTTAATTGTCTTTAGAAGCCACACACTTTGTAGTGAGATTTCACCAAAATGTTTCAGTAAGACTGCTTATCAAAGTCACGTTTTAAAACTAGCTTTATAAATGTGAAGCATTTCTTAGCGCACTGCAAGCAATTTTGGCGTCTGCCTGCCTGCCTGCCTGCCTGCCTGTCTGTCTGTCTGTATGTAGCCACATACGTTCCTTTCGTGATCACCCCCTTAACTTGGCGTGAACCAAAATTAGTGCGGGATAGTAAGATGGTTTGGCAAATGTGAGGCGCTGATCACGACGCGAACAATGCCATAATCCCATCGCGTACGTCGTCCAAACACTTCCCCCCAGACAATGGCACTTCCAGCTGGCGGCTATATGCCACTAGCATGGGGGTATGTGCCACCACGGCCTCCGAGATGGCGGGCGCGCGGGGGGCTTCTCTTCGGTCGTCCCAATCGCATGAAGAGAGCGTGTCTCTAAAGGTGGGTGTAGCTCGCTCTTTTCTGCGCACCGCGGCGTTCCTTTGTATATGGTCGAAAAGGCGGCCACGCTGTTGGCGAAGCTTACACGTGGCGAGGGAAAAAAATGGTTTTGCGCTTTTGTACAACTTCGCGCTCATTTGGGATTGTCTACTCTACTATATATTCTATACGAGAGGGCGTATATATTCTCAAATCAGCTTTTTTTTTTTTTTTTTTTGCTGTGGACTTGTGCCGCCCATATTAGAACACTTATAATTTGCGATGCCTCTGCAAGAGATCTGGAGCGCTGGAAACTTGCTGTACTTCGAAGTTTGCAGGTGGCACAATGTGCCCCGCCGCGGCGGTCTAGTGGCTAAGGTACTCGGCTGCTGACCCGCAGGTCGCGGGTTCATATCCCGGCTGCGGCGGCTGCATTTCCGATGGAGGCGGAAATGTTGTAGGCCCGTGTGCTCAGATTTGGGTGCACGTTAAAGAACCCCAGGTGGTCGAAATTTCCGGAGCCCTCCACTACGGCGTCTCTCATAATCATATGGTGGTTTTGGGACGTTAAACCCCACATATCAATCAATCAGGTGGCACAATGTATGGACGGCACTGGCGAAGAAAAAAAAAATGACAGCCCGATCAACAAGCAAAGTCACAAGAGTTCCGCGTTCTACGTTCAAGAATTGCACTCAATTAAAAGAATTGCTTTTCTTTCTTTTCATGAAAAAAGCGCTGCTTCTCATTGTAACACCGTTCCGAGAATCCTGTCGAGTCGCATAAGCAGGATACAGGGAGGAGGGAGCAGGCCATCGCCATGCGTCTAGACTATGTCTAGCCTGAACGTCGCCAATTTTGTGACGACCACGGGCTGGTTACAGGCACGTTTTGGTCACTTATGATCACCCATTCACACTGCGAATTTCACTGTGTTTAGTGGATACGTTGAACAATGCAATAACAAACATCGAAATGTTTCGATTGTTCAAGAAATACGCAACACACGTTCAGAGCTTGATGTACCTGGTTTGAAACATTGCGGTGTTACATTGCAGTGACGATTTGCACTTTTTTCCTTTTTTCGTAGCCTACTTCGGCGAGTACTTAGTTTTCATTAGAAAGACGCCTTTATGCTACATTTCCAACCCTTTGATTTGGACGCAGTCGAGAGTATAGTAAATGAACACGACGTTGATATTGCCATTGTGCTACCAAAACATAATCAAAATTGAGATGACAGTAAATGAGACGATGACAACTCAGGCATTTTACATGTGAAAGACGTGGGTAGTGAATATCGGTCGGCTAATTTAACCCTTATACAATATTTTGGCAAAATACTTCTCACGTACTTTATTTCAATGACAAGACCTAGGCATTCAGTTATCCACAGCATAACTGCGCTTCGGTTGACCACCTCATAAATACCCGTACGCGATATAATATAAAATAATGCGTCGGGATAGGAGAACAATACAATTGCACGACGATAATCTTGTATTTTTGCTCGTACGCGAAAAGAAATCACAGTATATCTACGTAGTGAATGATGACGAGTGGGGCGAAGCGTCCATACGTCCATCCGTGCTTCTGTCCGTCCGTCCGTGCGTTCTACCGTGTGTTGGTCTGTCGGTGCGTCCGTCCGTCCTTCCATATGTCTGTGTGTCCTTCCATCCGTCCGTCCGTGTGTCCGTCCGTCCGTGCATGCATGTATGCGTTCGATCGCGTTCGAGAATGCAGACAGCGCATGGGTAACCCCAACAAGACGCGAGCCAAGGAGGCCGAGCGCAAGCGCCCACCGCTCTGCTTCGTTCATGCCCCACCAACGATCCGACACGTACGGCAACGATCCGTAGACTGAGAGAGGCACTTGTTCCCCGCGCACTCAGGTAAAGCACGCGCAGCAGCCAATCGGAAAGTAGCGGCACTTCAGAGAGTAGCGGCCGAGTAACGCCATCTACCGGTTACGCGTGCCCGGAGATACTGCCGTTTACGCGTGACACGTGACAAGGTTAGACTAAGAGGAACTTCGCCGCTAAAAAATCATGCGCACGCTGGAATCCCGTGCGCTCTGCTGTATGCCACGGTCTCTGCCGCCACCGGAATCCCCACTCAATTCTCTTTCTCGCAGTAGCCAGGCTAGCGAGGCAATACTCGTCAATTTTGCTGGGGAGCACGGCGATTGGTACGGTCGAAGAGGACACGCCACTCGCTCGCCATCTCAGAGGCCATGGTGCCATCTCAGAGGCCATGGTGGCACAGGGAATCGACAGTTGTTATCCATGAAAGAACGGCGAGAACACAGATGGGTAATTTTAACACGTGAGCGTGAAGAAAAAGCAAACATCGGCAGCGTTGACGCTAAGAATGCAAATAGTAGTAAATGTCAGGTTCCCAGCATGAATCGAACTCTGCAGCACTCTGCGCGGCAATCAAATATTCTTACCACAAACGCCACAGCGAGGTCCTGTAACTACTTTTCAAGAAGACTCTAAAGTTCGTGAAACGTCAGTTGTGATTGCAGTCCTGGTTATCCTATCTTATAAACATTGCATATGTACTCCTACGATGCAGCCGTCATGTCGGGTTAACGTCCGTAGTAGTAATAGGTACCATCCACAGAAGCTTATGTGCCAAGAACTACAACCCGCGTGAGCACCAGCTTATCGCATCTGGTGTTGCTAATATTCATGTTTACATTGACATCATTGCGCAAGTGCGAACAAATGGTTATATAACATCTGCGACTGTCCAACACATGTCAGTGTGTGCCACGTTTGTACATTTATTTAGCGTAATTTCATAACATGTTGCTCAATAAAAAAATTACAACACGGTCACCTTCCCTCCGCGTGCTTCGCATAGCATCGATTTCCGAGGTACGTCGGATCTACCGAATTTTTTGTGGCATGATTTTCTTGCTCCTATTTTCGCATTGAGTTACGAAAGGACACTGTTGCGGCTGACGAGAGAGAATGCCACATACAAATGCACCCAAATCCTGGAAATGCGCGTAGCATCAAGCGCCTTGCGATCGCCAAAGATTTTTAAAAATTCGTGGACAGGAATTGTGTAAGACGAGAAGTGGACTTGTATTCTTCCAGGTTAGAACAGATTTCTTTCGCTACAAGAAAATCCTTCGCATGTTTTTTTTTTTTAAGGCTATAAAACTGGTTTAAAGGCGATTATTTCCTCGTTTGCTTTGAACCTGCGAATTACAATGAGGATTGCACAACTAAGCCACACTGTGTTACCTAATTTACCATGCTAGTTTATACCCCACGAAATTCGGTTTTAATTTTTGTAGTCACAGGTCACGGAATCGAATCCCGGCTGCGGCGGCGGCATCTCCGGTGGAGGCGGAAATGTTGTAGGCCCGCGTGCTCATAATTGGGTGCACGTTAAAGAACCCCAGGTGGACAAAATTTCCGGAGCCCTCCACTACGGCGTCTCTCATATTCAAATGGTGGTTTTGGGACGTGAAATACCACATAACAATCATCAATTTTTCTACTCTCGCGAACGCCGCAAAAGCAAAGTTAGGCGCTGCTTGCGTTGCCGTCGATATTTGCGTCATTTCTCGCCGCAGGCTTTTCGTCCGAGGTGACGTTCTCATGGCACATGTAAGGACGTTCACCTTAAATGGGCCATAACACCCACTTTCCTAACATAACCAGTGCTACGTAGGTTAATCCTATGTCGCTCACAAATAAACTGGCGAAATTTTAGCGCATTTTGTAGTTTATAACTGAATATTTTGCAAACTGGCGAGAGGCCTAAGAGTAGGGCAACACTGGCGACTTTGCGAGCAGCTATACATGCTGGCATCCGATATTGTTCTGCCGTCATCAGAGTCGGAAATCGAGATACTTGAACTTCCTTCTCCATGGCACTAAAACTGAATGAGTGGTGGTCTCGAGACAGCGGTACCGCTTTTTGCTCCACGTGAACTCACAGACGCCGTGGCAAAACGGCAGTTACAGGTGGCCAGCGAGATTCACATCCGGCGACTTCTAAAATCCTTGTTGCACTGATATTTGCTTTTACGGCCTACTTTTCATATTATCAAATGTATAATATGCAATCTGGTACTAGTTCTCGCTGAAAATTGAATGATTGGCAATGAACGGGCCGATCGATCTGCCCATTCTGCGCATACTGAAAGCGATCAAATATCAATACCACTTTCCAGAACTGACCCTCTACGGAAACTCCGCATGCTTGCTCGCAAGTGCACCACGTCGCAATGGAAGGAGTCACATTTCACACATGCACGATTATGTACCTTAGACCCAACTCTCAGTCTTCGAATTCCTCCGGAATTACGCCGACGAGGCACGACTATGCTGTGCAGATTATGGTTGGGCGTCGCATTTACCGATGCGTACGCGTTCCGCATAGGCATGGTTCACACAGCTGCATGCGACCATTGCGGCAGAGACGAAACAACTTGGCACATTCTGTGTGAATGCCCACAATACAGCTCGCAGAGACAGTCACTCGGCAATGCACTAGATGAACTGGACAACCACACTCTTTCGGAAGAAAGAATCCTGTGCTACCGACAGGACTTTATGTCGCAGAAGAAGGCTGTGAAGGCGCTCCTGCACTTCTTGCGTTCAACCGGCCTATACAAACGACTGTGATCGGAACTCCCTGAATGTGTGCGCATGTGAATTTTTTTCTCATTTATTTTATATCTCTCTATCATTATCCTCTTTCCGACCCTTTTTCCCTCCCCTGTACAGGGTAGCTAAACAGTTTTTTCTAGGTTAACCTCCCTGTCTCTTCCTTTTATTTATTTCTCTCTCTCTCTCGCTGAAAACCCCAAATTGCTGGGTGACCGTGTCTAGGCACCTCTAATAAGCAAGTTCCTTTCCCGTATATTTACCGCATATCACGGCCACCAATAACTGACTGACCTGGTGTAGTAGGGCGCGTAGGCGGCGCAGTCCAGTGCAGCGGCGGGGCTGCTCTTGGAGGGAAGCGGGTCGGCGTCCGTCGGAGACACGGCGGCTCCCAGCCGTCCGCAGCTGAGCCTGTCGCCCAAGGAGCCGTCGGTCACGTACGGTGCGGTCACGGGACCCAGCGACGAGTCCGCGTAGTCCAGCGAGCCCTGCGTTGCGTGGGCACAGGCGGTGTCTAGGTTGTACGAAACTTCTAATCAGCACACGTCCACATACAGAGAGGAACAGCGAGAAACCAAAAAGCGCAGAGAGCATCCAGGTTAACAGCATCCAGGTTGCGTGGCAACGAGATGAGACAATAGCATAAAACATGACATGATAAAAATAAAGTCTCTCTCCACACCGCAGTCTTTCGTTCAGTGCATTAGTAAGATTTGTTGTTGGGCTAGTTGGTGGTTTGCGTCGACTTCTACGGTGGTATGCGTGAACTAATTTTCTTGTAACATGCACCAATTAGTTGGCGCTCTTTTATTTTGCCTATCCTTCCACGGTGGTTTGCGTCGACTAATTTTCTTGTATCGTTTACTACACAAGCTCTTAATGTCCCACGTACGCCAACACCAATAAAATGACTCCGTTTGAGTTAGACAATAGCTGGTATCGGGAAACGAGAATAATATATTATTACCAAGCAACAATACAAGAGCAAACGTTAGTATGTATCACAAGCTTGCGCAATTTGATTTTCCTGTGTGTTTGCTATGCCTTGCGTAGTTCCACGTGGAACTTTTTCATGGCGTAACAACAAAAGGGATGGGATACAGGAGGACTTCTCAAGAATTATTGCAATCTAAAAAGATAGCACGAACACAACAAAGACACACTAGACAGGGACAGCGCTACCATGTTAGTTCCTGCTCTCTATCTGAGTTGCGCTAGTTCTTGACAGCGTAATGCAACGACAAGCCGTTCCAATCGCCTCAACACAGGCAAGAGCCTGACCAGATATTTTTTTCGGCGTTGGGAGAAGATAGGAGTGTTGAACTAAGCTTGAAGCATGTCCGTGTGCATGTTTCTGTGTGCGCGCGTGTATATAAACAAGGGTCATCCAGGAGTGTATAAGGGCTGTTTGGTTCCCCCAAAATTAATATTTTACAGTATAAAAGTTTCTATTGGGGGATTTAGTTTAGTACAACCCTCTAGTTCACTATTCTACATAATCACCGTGAGCTACAGGGTGCTTTTCGTATAGCTGCACCAGTTCCCTTAGCTTGAATTGGTCGGTAAGCATTTCTAGTACCCAACTGGCACACACTTTGTGTATTCAAGGCTTTCCGCATGGAATTGCGCAAATTGTAGAGTGGTCAACAAAACGAAATCGAACCGTCAGACTATGAACTGTCAGTCGTCAATCTAACTGCAATCCTAAGTCTATTTTTTGAAGTTTCACTAACCCTGATGCTGAGCCTGCCACACCAGTTTTCTTCGTACAAATCATGCGGCCATTTGTTGAGTATGTGCATCGTTTTCTGACTTTCTGACTTTTCCTTCATCACTGTTCGTACATAAAGTAGGAACAACTAGTCATTAATTTGAGAAGCTGATGACCCTTTTTGCCTGCGAAAATCGAATTCTGTTTAGAAAAAGCTGGTAACGATTGAGAGTACTAGGTACTCTACTATGGAAGAGCATAGAGCCGTCCCGAATACACAACATGCTCCTGGACATGTTAAAGAGCGTGATAACGTCGAATTACAGCCCGCCCTTCCCAACTGGCCGGAACATGCCCATAGACAGTTTCATCTCCACTACCTCCCAAGCAGACGACTACTAAGCCAGAACAATAACATCAGCAACTTCCTGAAGAACGAACAGATGACCCTTTGCAAATAATTTCTTTTTATTCTGACGCATCAGTATTTATACATCAGCAAATGATCTTTTTTTAATACCCCCCCCCCCCCAGGCACACACACACACAAAAAAAATCCACGCAGATTCACAAAATGAATGCTGATGATGGGGTGAAGCAGAGTGCAACAGATCATGAATCACGGCTGTCTATTTCGTTCTGGTTGATTGAGTGAGTGAGTGATTGATTGATTCATTGATTGATTGATCGATTGATTGATTGATTGATTGATTGATTGATTGATTGATTGATTGATTGATTGATTGATTGATTGATTGATATGTGGGGTTTAACGTCCCAAAACCACCATATGGTTATGAGAGGCGCCGTAGTGGAGATCTCCAGAAAGTTCAATTACATGGGGTTTTTTCAACGTTCCCCCAAATCTGAGCACACGGGCCTACAACATTTCCGCCTCCATCGGAAAATGCAGCCGCCACAGCCGGGATTCAATCCCGCGACCTGCGGGTCAGCAGCCGAGTACCTTAGCCACTATAGGCCACCGCGGCGGGGCTATTTCGTTCTGGTTAACATCCCTTCATTTTGTTTTGTTAACATTATTGTTCTGTTATATGCTATGATTGATGGGTGACTAAATGTAGGTGTTTTTAGGGTGGTGCGGCCTTCTATTTCGGTTGACCGTTATATTTTTTTTTACTTTTTTGTTAACCGTCACAGATGTTTCCGAACTTGGGCTACGAGCGTGCACGCCACCGGACGAGGCACAAGGCTCGGTCGTAAGGCGCTTCGCCCCTAAAACGGCGAAATTTCGGAGGGAGAGAAGGTAAGCAACTTGCCCCTCAAACACCCCTCCATAGCTATTACACAGTATACAGCGACGCAGAAGGAGACGCAGCACAGACCTGGTGCAGTTTCGCGAGGGCCTCCTGGTTCTGGGCGCTGCAGAGGTTCCAGGCAGCGGTCGGGTATGGCTCGGCCAGCTGCTGCGCTTGACTGGGTGGCGGCTGCTGGGGCGGAAGGGAGCCAAGACCGTTCACCACTCCGCCCAGAGCGTCGTCGGCACCCACCGGCGAGTCCGGACCCGAGTTGTCCGATCCGGCACTCGAGCCGTTCTCGGCTGGGCTGCTCTGGCTGTCTTGGCTGCAGTAAAGGCGCTGGTATAACACATCACCTGCAAAGCGTCTTGGACCTCGTTTTCCGTAACCGCTGTGACAGCGGACAATGACGCCAAGCAACGTATAGGGGACGGCAGTTATCATGTACCTAAATGCGAAGAAAATAAAGAGGACGAAACGACAACTTGCCAAACGATAACGAAATGAAGTTAGGGAGGAGCACTTCTCATTCACGAACATTTGCATCTATGTGTGCCCCACGTGCTATTCCCCTTTACAGTCTCTGAATTGACTAAAACGGCAATCATGGTAGTTCTGAACATGACTGTCTATAACCACCGGCTAAACGCATGTTGTACGAAGTTTTCGACACAGCAATCTGTTGTTGTTTTTTGTTACAGAGATGCAATGGAGATCTGTAACCGTTGGTGCCATGTGTAGCAGATGTATCATACCCTTTACACACACAGAAAAAAGCTCAGGCGATTATGCGGTTACTCGCAGACGCAACGTGTACGCAATCGCATACTAATTTTGGTTGCGTTGAAGTCGCACCATAACCACGTGCTAAACAGATGCCGCAAGAAGCTTCATTGTATGCACCAAGGAGGCGCGATGCGGTAATAATGTTAAGAGGGTTAGAGGGAAGGCGAGTGCACGGCCAAGTTTATTATAGGATGCCTTGACACCACGTTCGTCATATGATGAAGCGTCGCTCTTTCTAAACGGATGCGCTTTCTCACTAAAGACTTCGTTCTGACATCCACTGCACTCGCATTATAACTCTTCGTACTCTGAAATTCGCAGACAATAAGGTTTGTAATAATAATAATAATAATAATAATAATAATAATAATAATAATAATAATAATAATAATAATAATAATAATAATAATAATAATAATAATAATAATCTTATCAAGAATTGTTGTTTTATGTGCAACATGCCCGATTGCGTAACGAGGTACGCCACAGTGACGGCCTCTGGATTGATGTTGACCCCGTGCGGTTCCTTAACGTGTCCTTAACGTGTGCCTCAATCAAGGTAGCCGGGTGTTATTGCAGCGAGATGCAGTCACTGCGCAACCGAACCTGCGAGAAACCCACAGAATCCAGCGAGCATTCGCCTAAGATGACTCGAAGGCAATCGACGGACGAATACATTTGTATTAAACGTATACGGCAAGGCTTAACGTGACGCGCGCTTTGGTCTCCCACGAGAGAACGTCAAGGCCTTGCCTCAGCGCCGCCTCACAGGCTTGCGGAAGGCATCATCTCGTTCTTTTTCTTCTCTATCAACACTCCCATCTTCTCATGCGCGGAAATACCCAATAATGTGGGCCCCGCCACGGTACTTGGCTGCCGACCCGCAGGTCGCGGGATCGAATCCCGGCTGCGGCGGCTGCATTTCCGACGGAGGCGGAAATGTTGTAGGCCCGTGTGCTCAGATTCGGGTGCACGTTAAAGAGCCCCAGGTGGTCGAAATTTCCGGAGCCCTCCACTACGGCGTCTCTCATATTAATATTGTAGTTTTGGGACGTTAAACTCCACATATCAATCAATCAATCAATCAGTCAATCAATAATGTGGACAAGGGAACGACCGCTGCCGTAGCTCGATTGGAAGAACATCAGACGCGTTATCGAAACGTTGCAGGTTCCGTCCGTACCAGCCGCAAGTTGTATTTTCGTACACTTCAATTTCTTCCCATTTATATCGTTATCAAGTACTACAATACGGTTAAAGGACTACAAATAACTTCCCCTACTTTTTTTTTTTTTGGCTTCACTGTCCATTAGTTTTCGTGAAAGTTGTGTCTGATAAGATGGACGCTTACAAAAACGCACATTGAACGATTTTTCTTTGTTCTTAGTATGCGGTGTCGCAAGGCGCGGCTACTTGTGTCAGGGCTCCGGTCGACAGATGGTCGCGGCTCGCGCCCGAGAGAGGGCCCCACAAGCGGTGCGTCAACGCGACTCCATCGCAAAGCTCGACGTGTTTGCTTTGGAGATCGCCCGGGTGTCTTCGGAAGCCGCCCGCTGCGACCGCTAATCAAGCCTTCCTCATCCCCCCCCCCCAAATGCCCTCGTTCTCTTTTGCGTTACCTCCGCAACTCCGCACCGTATTTTCACGCCCTCCCCAACACCGGTGGAGGCTTATCTTCGCTAACGCGGAACCCAACCGTACGGGACTCCTCTGATGCGGCGACAATTTATCACCGGCTTTAGACCGAGGCTGCTTATATATAATCGCTGAGCGCTTAGCAGTGCGAGAGCCTTGAAGTGGGGGAAACCGACAGGAACCTACTTAGAGTATATTTTTTTTATTTATTTTTAGGGCCGAATGAAATGTGTCGCCAGCCTGAATCCTTGCGTTCGCAATTTACCGCGACGGACGGATAACCTGTTTTTGCTTAAAGCTGGGAGTCAAGACAAAAGTAGGATAAGTAAATAAATATTATGAAAAACAGTAACAAAAACAAAGCCTAACGGGCTATTTTTGTTCCCAAAAATAGGCCGGTCAGTCAAGGAGAAAAAATAAAGAAGTAACTGGAAAGAATTACCGGAAAATGAATGTCAACTGCAGAAACCAAAAATATACCTCGAGTGTCGTCGAGCTGTCAGCGATAGCAGCGACCTCTATGTGTTCAGCAGTGACCATCACACCGAATTCTACCTTTTTACATTTTTACAATACTTTTGAAAACGGAAGGATTTTCGGCAATTCTTAAACCCCGAATGCAGAGATGTTACTTGGCCGCGTCTTCGACTTGACTTGAGCAAGTCGGCGCGAAGCAAGCAGCGGACTTGAAAACGCTCAAGTCGGCCTTCGCGTTTCATAGATGCTCAGGCTGTCTTGCTTGGTCAAGTCAAGAACGAGCTTCAAAGCAGAAACACGCTGCTCGCCTGCTAACGAGGTTAATAATGAAGTTGTTCGCGTAAGGCATGCATTACACAAAAAAAAAAACCATACGTTTTAAAATAACTATAAAAACGAAAGGCCACAAGCAAATTCTTGACATTTTACGGCTAACGAGCGGCACGTGGTGCCTGCTACCACAGCGATGCGCAGTGTTGCTTCTATAAAGCGTTCGTTGCCCGCTGGTTTTAGTGGACACCTAAATGTGGTGCGTTTCTCCATGGTTGCTTGTTTGGAGGAGAAACTAGCATCGCGTTGGGTTCTCTCGTCGTTTTTTTTTATTTCTCAATTGAACGCCATGGCATGTATTTGTGCTGGTCTGGCTCACGAGGTGACGCGATTTTCACGGTATTTGCCTTACTGTTCGCCTGTGTGGATGCCTGTAATGGCTAGGTCGCAATTATGAAAAAAAAAAACAAGTTCTGGGAACAAATGCGATTCGTATCCTTTTGTTGAGCTTGGTAAACAAGAGAAAAAGCGGGGGTCAGGACATTGTTGCCCTCAGCAGAATTCTGTCTCGCGGGGTGCAGCAATGTATCGCTGCACGATGGTGACGCGGATAAAAAAAACCGTGACAGTGGCACCTCTTTTTTATGTGTGTGTAATGTTACGTAGGGTTGCGCTACAAGCGATGCTTTTCTGAGCGAAAAACAGCGCCCTAGACAGGACGAAAGTATAGACGAGGCACACGGACACAGCACCGAGTCGATTTTTTTTTTTACCGAACGAGACGGAAAATGTCGTCGTGTTATAGAAAAACAGAAATAGCCTTTGCGGTTACGGAACACTTCGGCGTTGTCGACACCGGGGCTATTAATACGCACGTGTGTGTAGTCGACACAACCTGTAACGCAAGGGAACTCAGCCACTTCATAACAGTCCGCCGGCTGCGGAAAGCGCACCAGCATCGCGTACAGGTGCTTTGCGATGAGTAGCGTAACTTTTCCGACTGCACGGCACACTGTCGACTACGGAATGCGGACGAAATTTCTGGTGACTGGTTGGAATGTGCCAGCGCTGTAAAACCTGAGAGCCACCAGTGGCTGTAACACTGGATGCACGGGCTGTCTTCGGTTGTCCCCACTTTCACGGAGCGGCAACATAACGAGCAGCTGCCCCACGGTGTTCTTCATGAATCTGTACCTAGCGTGAAATTGTTGCTTGTCGTACAACTTCATCGGATTTCCTTGGTCACGTAAAGCGGTTCCAAGAATCTGCGGCAGGCAGTGCGCCTCAAAAAATGCTACGCTTATGGCGAGGCAAGCAAACTCAAAAGCGGCCACCTTTCACGCGACGTCCATTCGAGAGGTGGCCATGTTGGAATGACGCGTGAAGTCGCTTTCAAGCTAGCCCCGCAGCTGACTTGAAACTTGTCCTGACTTCGACCGAGCCAAGTCGCCTTCAAGTCATCCGCAAGTTCGAGAACGATTTATGGCGACCGGCAAGACTGTCTTGAGTCAAGAACGAGTCAAGTACGAGTCAAGTAACATCTCTGCATTCGGGGGTAAATGACAGATCAATGAGTGAAGCAGCGTCTTCGGCTGCCTCTATCAGTGTACACGTAAAAGAAAAGAAAAAGATAGCGCGACAAAAGTGTAGGCATGTCGTGTTTCGGTATGCTAGACAACAAAAGATCTTGAAAGTGTGACGACTATAACTGGATGATTTTCTCCGGGCTTGTGTTCACAGAAAGATTAAAGTAGCTTCGCACTAAGGGTGACAAGCCTGAACAAACTGCGAAGCTGGGAAGCCTCTTCTTTGTTTCTCTTCGTTTTTTTTATTCTTTTCTTTTTTTTTTATTCTTGTTCCCCTTTTCCATTTTTCTTTCTGCCTTCCTTTTTTCTCCTTATTCTAGTTTATGTCTCCCTCTTTATATATTTCTTTCATGCTCTTGCTCTTCTTATTTTCCGCCCTTTTATTTTTTGCCTTGATCTCTCTGTCTATTTCGCGCTTGCTCCTTTTTTTTTTCTTTCTATTTTATACTTGGCCTGCGTTACGCCAAATGTTCTAGCGCTTTATTAGTGTTTTTTTTAGTTGATGATGATAAGCGATCGTAATCAAGGCAATCGAAGAACAGGAGGAAGAAGGCTTCTCCTATAGGCACGA